AAAATAGCTCAATTCCATTATTAACATTACTTACAGTCACAAACGTGCATTAGATTATTCATTAGTGTAAAGCGACATTACCGATACAAATTTAACATTCATTAGAGCTTAAAGGTGTTATAAACCTTAATGGACGTTTGGCCAACGGACTGTAGGTCATCCAAGTTGATGTGTACGCAAATCTTGAACTCAATCTCAAAGTAGGAAGTGAATCAATTTTAACTGACAAGATTTAACCCACATTAACCAACAAAGCAAGATAAATGAAAGCTTGAAAAAACGACTTCAGAATATTTTAAATATAATACATATCTGTTAATTCAGTTAGCATTAAAAATCTACAACTCTGGCGAGATTTTATAGAAAAATAAACAAACAATAAAGTTTACGGAATAATATATATAATTACACAGTGAAATAACGTGTTTCAGAAGTATTAATAGAGGTTATGACTACCTCTAATATATTAATAGACTAGCTGTTTTTCCGCAACTTCGCCCGCGTAAATTTATAGCCTATGTCACCCGTGTATGATGTAGCTTCCCGTAGATAAAAGAATTTTTGAAAACGTTGTTTCGGAGGTTATTCGAAACAAAACAAACCTTTCCTATTTATAATATTAGTCAATATATACAAACAAAAACTCAGCATAATAAACCACAAAGCCAGAAAAACGATGAAAAAATAGACGAGCTTACTTACTATTAATTAAAATGAAACTTACAACTGTATTCCATCACTAATAACATTTGTTCCATCAGTTGAACACAAGATCTCAATATCACTGAACAAAGCCTTTAAAAAGTAACGCACTGACAATAAAAAAATAAAATTAAACACTATCGTGTGTGTATTGAAAAAAAAAACTTAACTACAAAAACGCTTTCAACAATTATTTTTTGAATGCATTTAATATTTTAAACATACTCTCTTTGTTATTAAACTGTGACACTAGTTATTTTGGAGAGTGAAGTAGATTTTGACGAGTGAGACGCTTAGTAAAGCGTAGTTATACGGCAAAATGCCGCAGGCAACTGGAGGGAAAGCTGCAAAGCTGTAAAGCTTTCAGGAAAACAAAGGAGTTGCCAGAGTGCAAGTTTCTCCTTATTTTTTGGGAAAAAAATATGAAACTTTTTAAGAGATAAATGTAACGAGCTTTATTGTACATTTAATCGAAAATTAACTTAAATGATGATTTTAAAAAATTGAGTATACGATTAAGTTATATCGAAAGACAGCTTTATATAATTGGGTTTTTTATTGATTCTGAATTTTAGATTTGATGTACGTAGGCTCGGTTGTACCAATTTACGTTAACAATAACAAACATATTAAAGCATATATTGAGCTGGACCAATTAGCATGACGTCATAATTTCAACTGTTAACAATAACCTGCCAAGCTTAGCTGGTTAAAGTTATTGTTTTACTATGCCAAGAAAGAAGATGGTGCAACGCATTCCACAATCAATGATAAATTCCGCCACAGTTATATATATCACATTTAACATAAACCTTAACTCTTGTAGTAACTCTCCAGTCTTAGAGGTTGTTTGTTTAAGTAAATGTAAACTTATGGCTTCTCCAAATATTTGTTGTGGTTATTTATAATCATGTTAATAGTTCTTTAGTTTCTTTCAGCCGAGGTGTAACAATGAATATTCATTTATCTTTCTCGTCTCGAATTACCGGGTTACGAAGATTTTACTGCGTTGATCAGATTTAGCGGAATCCCACGACAATTATGACTGTTCGTCGTAGGGTCGAACTCATCCGCGAATATTTTCGTGCTAATGACATTAGGTTAACAACCCTTCGAGCACTGTACGCTGGTACTACTACGGAGTTTCCTCATTCCTTATTCGATGAGCCCTGAGATTCTGTAAAAATCCAAACCCGAATTAGAATTCACTCAGGTGTCCGAATACACTTCAAAAAGCGGCATCGACACAATCTTGAATTGTAATAACGTTTTGTAACATAAGTGAAGCGACTTTCAAAATGACATAGGAAAAGAATATCTGAGATACATGAGTGAACTCGAATTCGCGTTCGGATTTTTAAAGAATCACTCTGCAGGTAAAAAAACAATAAGTACTGCTCTTTCGATCGCCCGCTATGTGACTTTAGTCTTTTTATGAGACCCATAAAGAGAGTTAATTAAAATTATTTAAAGAACTGCAATTGAACAATCGTTTTATAAGAAACTAGCTTTCTGCCGCCAGCGGCTTCTCCCACGTGGTTCCTAGGGAATTGTTCAGCGGGATAAAAAGTAGCCCATATATTAATTCAGGTGTAGAATTAAATAATTCATTTGAATAAGGTTTCAAATCATGACACGTATACAATTACAATGCCAATCGAATAGTAAACAATGTTTACTATGGTAACTTCCATTCCCATATTATTCTTATCACAGCTGATTTTTTTTAATCGGCTCAGTAATTTCTATTCGTTGCAAACAAACAAACAACCAAATCTTTCCGCTTTAAAATATTAGTGCACACATACAACTTGCATATGTGCAACTTATTAGAAGATTGTGGCAACATCAGGATAATTTTATGATTGAAGGCAAGCGAGGACTGCAGTGCTAAAGAAGTGGTATTATTACGAATATTTGTCGCGTCCGGAAGGTTTACGATTCTCGTGGAATAAACTCAAATATATAATAACTTAAAACAGTTAAAAACAAATCTTAAAGCTTGCAAAGATAGTTGGGAAATTCATGAAACTTCATTTGAATTGCGAATAGAAAAGAAGCCGAGGTTTCTTGAATTCCATACCGTCTTTTTAACCAATTTCAGAAGAAAAAAATATCGCATTGTTGCCTAATTTTCAAATTATTTTTTTATTCGACAGCTTTGACTTATATCGCACGTGCGTTTTGAACGTGGATTGTATATTATGCCATGTATTACAATATTTCGTGACCTCATCCTTGTCCGAGCCCGCGAGTTGACGTTACCAAGCACAAAATTCTTTTTTTTTATTAATTACTTCAATAATAGATAGGGCATTTTTATTTCTAAGTGTAATTGACAAAGGGGCGTGATCTGTAGAATTATTCAATTAAGCAAGATACGTACGTGTAAACACAACACAGTGATGAATAAAAGGAATTAAAAAAGAATTTTGAAAATTGGTCAAGAATTTGCGGAAAAGTCGGTGTATATACATAAAATATACATCGCCGTCGAACATATGTAGTATAAAAACTCTTTTTTGATTTTGAGGTCGGTTAAAGTGACAAAAGTTATGTAAAAGTAAATTAAAATACTTATCTAAAGAGGCTGGCAAAGCAGATATCAACAGTATGACTTTTAAGCTTGCCTTCATCTGAGTTTTTATATAGGTATCTTGCCTTCACCTAACGTTGACGTCGCTCGAGCGTACTTATAAACATATGTCCCATGAATATGTGAACTATTTGGGATTTAGCGCTGACTAGCAAGATTAATTTGCACAATGTACACACGCCCACTCGTCAGGTTACGACAGATGCTAAATTTTTGCAACGTATTTCGACCTCTACCCTCAATGTATTAAGGTTTAATACAGAGTGGAGAAATTTAATAGTTTTGTATAGTCTGACGTACTATTGACTGTACATAAATATATGCGCAAATCTTATTTACTAGTACTTGGTGAATATAATTTATACAAATCAGTAAAATCATACATTAAATCATCTAAACTAATGTTATAAAGAGGAAAAGATTTGATTTTTGTCCGTTCGTTTGTATCATATGGGCTTTGAAACTACTAGACAGATTTTTTATATTCTTTCAACTACGGAAAGCTAATCTAAGCGAGCGGAATTGCGGGAACAGAGCTAGTATACACACTCTAATCTCTGTCAATGTTTTGGGGATGGAACGGTGCATTGGCTGTGTCGGTATATTCTCAAGTCTCGATGTTACGATTTAAAACATACTTTTGGCTCCACGGTGTTAATTAATGTCAGCTATTCTTGAAGCGTACGTATTCATTCGATAGTATAACAAGAGATCTGGTTAATTTAGATCCCTTGGAAATTGGGTCGACATTGATTACTTGTGGCGTTAGTTTATCACCGAATCATGCAGCATGAACAACATGAGGCTGGAGCAGCTGAGCCACAGATTAATAATCTGAAGGCTGCTTATTAATCTGTGGCTCAGCTACTGCAAAAAAATGCATTACCTTTTTATACAGGGAGTATCAAAGGGTGCAGTAGATTTTTGGCTTTACTATTTTATTACTTTTATTTAAAGAACATTTGAAAAGCTTTACTTCTACTCTGACATTTCTTATATAGGATCCTTGTCATATACATAGTGTTTTCCAAAGTTCCACTGCACTTTTCTGTTACACGCTGTATATTATCATCATGCTATCACTCTATTTATTTTATTCGTGAAATTAGCATGGAATGGAACTCCATTGAAGCCTCTTGTTTCTATGATAGCCTACACTACGTTTTTGTGTCCATTTGATATAACACTATATTATATTTCTTTAATTCTGTGCTTTAATATTGTTTTGTCTATGCGCCCACAGAAGAAAATATGACAAAAAATGGGTTTCATTCCTTAGAATTTGACATTTGACGATTGAAAGTGAAAATGTCATAAGTCCTCAGGAGTTCTTCGGCAAATATTTGGGAAAAACTTTCCTTTAGGGAGTAATTTGCACCAAAAAACTCGAATGTAATTCATAAATCGATCATCTTTTATAATCATCTCAATGACAGCTGTCTAATAAATCACAATACAACAATGATAACGCCGGTTAAATGAAGCCAAAATCGGCGCTCATCCAACAGCTAAATAAAACAATTAGCCCTGGTAACAAATACCATCTGAGTATTATGTAATAATCGTAATTTAAAACTTGTTGTTTTAGATAGCATCCTAATTGAAATTACATGTCCATTGCAATTACCTTCGTTCTATTTCACTTTGAAAGTGGCAAGTGTAAAAATAAAATAAATTATGTTATTAATATAATAATACTTACCACATGCGTCGAAAACGCACAAACATCCAATTCTAGCGTTGTACACACTGTTCACACATTTTCACAAGCACTCGCGTTTCGCGCAGTCGACTTAATCCAATTTAAACAGTCAGTGGCCTATCCAGTCGTTGATTTTCGAATTTCAAAAATGAATATATTCGAAAAATACTAGTTCGGTTTTCAAATCGATCCGGGCTGCGCGAGCGCCGGACGAGAATACAGAACGGGGACGATCGAGTGCACGCCGACCATTTTCTATTTATACATCAGCTGGGTGGAACAATAACCAAACTTGAAAGACCTCCATTTAGAGGTTGACTAAAAGAAATCGGCGGCGGCGGGCAATGAAAACGGTACACCTTGCTAGGGCTCAATTAAAGCTGGTCAATGTTATATTTTGACTGAAGATCTACAGCAAAACCCGGGGCGGTAGCGTGATCTTTACGAACCTTCTTGAAGAGTCAATGGCCTATTGCGAATTGCGACTAAAGGGCACAATAATATAAATAACCACATGATTCTATAAAAACTGCTATATTAAGCAAGTATATGGTTTAGTATGAGTATTTAAAATTTTGCCTCATACATACATTATTTTCAAGAATCATGTTTGGTTGACTTTTTTCTTCAATTAAAGGTTTCTAAGTCTAAAAGCATAAACATATTTGACGACCGCGTTCGAGTGGCTCACATATCAAGTGTTTTTTGAAGTGGTGTGGTTCTTGCACCTTCTGTATGTGTGTCAATAATAAATTTTAGAATATTCAAAGAAAGAATCTTCCATGATCCAAAAAACGAAAAAGATATAAAAAAAGTAGCTGTCGAAATCAAAATACGCATCTACTTAAAAACTTTGTTTTATTTAATTTTTTCGAGAATTAACTGTTCATATTTCTCTATCTAAGTAAGAATATTAATATAAATATTTTAAAACCGAAAATTACTTATTTTCATTTTATTTGCTGCGTGATAGATAAGGAACGACAATACCGCCCCCACCTAGGGACATTTATTTAGTAGTTTATTTTTTTAATGAATTAATTTCTCACATTGCTCAAATCCAAATTTAAGTTGGATTTGAGCAATGTGAGAAATTGCGTGCGAGTCAGACTGCTACGGAGGTCGTAGTCGTAATTCATATTTCATTTAAAAATATTTGCAAATAAGGTAAAGACAACATAAATGACACACGTTATAGTTAGTTATAATTTTCTTTAATTATGTGTTCATCTTTCAGTTTTTTGCAATGCGCTTCTTTCATAATTTTATAACTTTATAACTTATGTCGCCATATCATTTTCAAAATACATTCATAATGTATAAACAAATACGAGTAGTTTTATAATGAACATAAACCAAACAACTCTAGCAATAGATCGAATGTTTTTATTGTGCCGTCGTCTCTTATCCTTTTCTGTCGGTCAGAACCTGCATTTGCTAGAGAAACGAATATGCACACGCATCCAGTGGGAATAACTTCGTACGCACTTGCCAGGAAGGAGTCTAGCTAGGGTTGCCATCTGTCCGGCCTTAGCCGGCTTCCTGGTCTGGCAGGCTGTGGTGTTATAACGTAATAAATTGAAAATTATTATCAAAATTATTTTATCAGTTTGACCTAACATTATATAACATAGAGAACAGCACAGTCCTCCTTTTTTATTTTAGAAGATGGTAACCCCAGTTCCTGCTCTTCACCCACGAGAACCTCACCTATGGTACCACTACCATTCTCTCTGGTAAGAGCATGGTTAAAGTATGTATGCGCAATAAAGTGATGGGCACAAGGGGTTGACTCCGACAATCAAGTGAAGAATTAACGCCACCCAAACTAAAATTAGCCAGGTCATTACTCCGTTTGAATCGGAAGGATCTTCGCACAATCGTAGGTACCATAACCACTGCTCACTCAAAAACACCTCCACACCATAGGTATCATCAACAGCCCTCTCTGCAGGGCATGTATGTCAACAGAAGAAACTATCGCTCAAGCATTCCTGGACTGCGAAAGCATAGTAGCACACCGGGACCGTATATTAGGCAATCTATCAATATTCCACGATGCCTGCAAAGACCCCAAAAAGACTACACTTCTGGGCGGAGTTCTGTTGGCTGGAGTAAGACAGTCAACTTTTCACACACGATTAAAGACGTTTAAAGCATCTAAATGCAAAAAAATAGAGCATGTCGATGAACGTTATTCGCGATAAATAATTTTTCTAGTGATTTACTTGAACCGCGACCACTCGTGATTCTGTCAAGCAAAAACTATCTATTTTTCACAAAGATTTAAAGTAAAGCTGAATTCACTCATATGCAAACAACAGAACGTTGATATTTGGTCGACTCGCTTTACAATATCAACGATGACCAAAAAGTTGCAACCACATATGGTATCGATACGTTGACATCGATAAGAAAATAACGCTTTATATTGATTTTCATGTAATGTAATTTCAATAACTGTATAGAATGAAACGTGTAATATAGAGCGCCTAAATAATATGAATCGCAAACAAAACGTGTGTGCATGTGCGAAGGAAACAGCAAATGGAAGTTAGTAAATGTGTGAATGAAATAGTTTTGTACTTTCCGCAAAGTTCGGTTTTCGGAGTAATTGGTTACTTCCAATCAAAAATCTAGTGTTAACGCAGTAGCATAAGAGTGAATTTGTTGATTTAGATTAGAGCGTTGTACGCCGAGGAATCTTCGAGACGTTCTAGCAAATAGCGATTCCGAGTGCCAGAAAAGTATATGACGACGGAAAGGGAATACCATGCTGTTAGACTTTATTTAACCCTAAATAGGAATCTTAAACTAAAGTCACAGATGATTTATGTTTAAAAATATATAATTAACAATTAAATAAGGAACATAATTGATTGCCAAAATTTCGCATAGAGCGCCTAATATAAATCAATGTGATATAGTCTGTATTCTGTCGAAAATGGCATCTAATCTGCAGCACTTTCATTTCTGAGTGGCGCCAATTGACGTTGACCAAATGAGACTTTATACTAGAAACGTGAGTTTCTCTTGTGATGTTACTATAATCTGTTCCTAAGGCAGGCGAAATGAAAAATATTTATGTCAATATATAAATGTACATATATATCAATGGGTTACAGAGATCTTTCACATATTTTTAACATGTCTTCACTAATCTAGTACGATAATAGTGTAGAAGACTCTAACCACACTAGCGCCACCTACCGGGAGAAAAAAATAGGAATCGCTGCCATTATTTATTGCTAGAGATTGACAGTATTGTATAAGGAGTTGAATCGACGATAAACTTCTATAATAAAATTTAAACAATTAAGATATTTTTTTAGCCATGCATTATTTAATAATAAATAGTATTTTTTAAATTAGAGAGTATTTATTATATTGAATACGTGACTATTGTTTCTTTTCTTATATTTACAATAAATCCTTTATTTACATTTATTATAAATATTAATCACGTATTGAATATGCACACAATGTTTACATATTGTCTGCTTTATTATCTTTAAATTAAGAGAACTATCTAAAAAACATATGTAGTGAATCAAGCTATTATTAAGGCACTGTTAATATGTCCCATTTTTTGAAATACCTAATGTCAATTGGCGATTTCACTTGGTTTAAGAACAGAATAAACTGTTTTCATACTATTAATTATTAATATGTGTTAATATTTTTATGTGATTTTGAAATAAGTAATTATTTAGATTCATCAATATACTATTATTAAAGCTGGAATGTGTGGCAACGTGCACAGTTTATTTGGACGTTACTTTCTGTATATAAACAATTGAAAGTTAGTAATGTTTGATTTTCCCTCTTAAACTGCCCATAATGGAGTATAGAGTATCCCGTATGGTTAGTTAACAACAAGCAGACTATGTGACTACATCTTTCATATTGAATTGGACATTTTATCACTGGCCTTATTTATAACTTGATCCATAACAACATACACATAGTCATTCATAAATATATTATGTAAGATTATTGTTAGAAATAATTTATAATTTTGAAATCAGATTTATCAATTTTGAAATGTTATCGGAACTAATATTTATATAAAACAGCTGATACATTTTTTTCATAACAAGAAAAAACATGCTCAACATCCTCTTCGTAATTTCGTCATTAATATTCAATCATATCATCTAAACATTATTGAAGCCATTTAATTATTTCAAATTGTTAATATAAATATATAATAATAATAATAACATTTCAGCACATATTCAGAAGGTCAAATCACTCTCCCTCTGTAATCAATTTTGAACTGAACTACCACGAAGTTCAAAATTTCGAATGTATTATTAGTTTTGCGATAATATTTACATAACAATTTGAAATAGAGAAAGACTGTCATTCCCTTCATTATAGTATAGGCTCATCGGATTCAACTACAATTTGACCGATCTCCACACTAGCTTCAGCACTTGGTATAACAATAACATCCGTCACTTCATTGGCACAACTCAAGTCGCAAACTTGTCTATCTTCAAAATCATCACAATTAACATTTAAACTATTAAAATTATCACTTTCCACTGTATCTACATTGATACTGTCCATCAGTTTGACAACGTCCAATGCTTCGTGCACATTCTTATTTACACTAGACGAACAGAAATTTTCGATTTCAGAACATATCCTTTTCATATTGTCTTCGATGCCAGATATTCCTAGTTCATCACAGTTATTGCTTGACAATCTCACTAGTTTTTCCTTTTGGTTAACTAGCGACACTATGTTATCGCTTTCAGTATCAGCTTCTGCATCTTCACCTAGTGTGAATATCACTTTGTCCGCTTTTCCTTCATCTATATCATCAGTGAGTCTTGCTATTTCAGAATCGGAATTGTGCTGTTTCAATACGTTATTGGATAATTCTGTGGGGACGGTTTCTGTTAATTTCATATTGTAGATGTTTGGTTCGCTTCCCATGATTGAAGTTGTTGACACGTCTAAAGTAGACAATCCCTGTGGTGTAACAAAAAAATGTTTGTTAATCATTATATGAAGTCGGAACGTTTTTAAACTACCTGCATCTACAAGAATCTTATCTATTTAAGCTAACTAAACCCAACAAGGGGGTGATCTGGCCTTTTAGTGGATTTAGGATAAAAAAAATTTGCCTGTTTACACAGTGATAGGACTTTTCTGGTAAGTTTTAAAAATGGGTTCTGTAAATTTTGAGTTTATTATCAGAAATATATTAAAGTACTAGCTGTTTTCCTGCAACTTTGTCTGCGTATGATGTAGTTTCCCGTAGATGAAAGAATTTTTAAATCGGTCCAATAATTTCGGAGCCTATTCGGTACAAAAAACAAGGAAATCTTTTCTCTTTATGATTTAGTCCATATCTTTTCAGTCTTTCATGCTGCTCAGAAAACTATGAAATACGAGACATTTGTCTCCCGATCGAATCCTGAAAGGCGACTGAAGATTTTTTCGATATATTACTGATGATGATGATACTTTATTTAATAATCTCAAAAATCCCACATTTAGTAATTAAATAAAGACTTAGTTCTTTTGCCGTTATGATAATTTTAAAAGTTTATTCACCTTCATACTGTGTAGGTATGAAGTACAGAAGAGCAACATCAAATAATTACAAAAAGGCTCTGCATTATTTTATTGCAATCGGAAAATTTTACGAAACCGTGTCGCTATCTCCGAGATCCTGGGTTCAATTTCCGATCATAAAAGGAGTTTCTTAGAGATTTACATAATACAAGTTCAATAAATGTAAATCTTCTCTAATATTTATATCATTTTATACTTCACTACAAAACTTAAAATCGAAATGGGCAATGTATGACCTTTTCAATAACCTGGCATTCTTATACATAAAAGTAAGGGCAAAGAGGGCGAGGGTTAAATTGTCTACTATCTACATCTACAGAACTTAAATAATTTAGATTAAAAAAAAAGTTGGAAGCGGAATAACAAAAAGGAATGAACTTACATATTATCATAAAGAAACACATTGGCAGCGGAAAAATAAATAAAACAGTAATTTGGAATTTCGAAAGAGCTATTTTATGACATTTTTCACTCGGAAATTGTTTTATGTATTTGAAAATGTTTTAGTAAAAAATTGTTTATTCTCAAATTTTTTTTCATTGCATTAGTAGACAATGTGAATGTTAAAATTTTGATATTAAGTTCTTCTATTTGCAGAAACATGTCTAAGTTATTGTCGCCATTAAAATAGTTATTGACCTGATGAGGACTGTAGTGACATAGTTTCGTTAAATGTATTGTATATGAATAATAGGGTAGTTTCGGTAGTGAAAAACAAGTCACGAAATTGCACAAAAACCAAAATTTACATACTTATCAACATAGAGATTCTGATTTTGAGCCTTAAAATCGCACGATTATCTTATTATCTAAAAATTAAAAGTCGTGATTTTTGTCTGTGTGTCACGTGACTTCAAACACAATGGTGGGAACCATTGTGTGAAGTCACTGTGACGACAACTGTCAGATTGGTCATAAAGATATACCTATTAATTATAAATCGAATTCCTAGATGGCGCTGTTCTTAGTTTATTTATATCGACCGTGAGATGGCCACGAATGTCAATTTAAACTGGATTGTGCAGTGTTTCATTAAAAACGGGCAGAGTGAGAGAGTAAATTAGTAACTCTTCATCTCTGTCTTAGTAGTTTTGTAGGATGTCCACGCGTTTTTAATAATTTCATAAATAGGTAATATTTAATAATGTTTACATGACCAAATTTAAACATTTACAGATATAATTTTATAAATTTTTACAGATATTATGAATGATGATGTTAGAAATTTAACCGATAAATTAGTTTTTATTTATCGGTAAAGATATTTATTTTGTAGGAAATAAAACAAGTACATAAATGTTATTATAATCATCTATAATGTATAAATCAATTAAAAGGATAGAAATGTTTTTTTTTCCTATTAATTGTATTAGAATACAACGGATCACTTTGCCTGGTATTATTGTCCTCCATTTTTCAGCTAGACTTTTATCCTTTGGGATCCTAGAAACATAAGAGCAATTTTGTCATGGTCAGCATAAGAAAATTATTACTTTATAAATATTTATCCAAACTAATGTGTAGGCCATTCCGATATTTTCCAAAACATAATTAAGCTAGTTCTCGTTTTTCATTTTCCAAATAACTTTGTACCTACCGTGAAAATATTGATAACGAAGAATGGCGGGTAGCGTAAGTAAAACTTATAAATGTTTATAATATAAACGTATGAATATTAATTTAAATCAAAGCCTCTTTGATATGGTTTTGTTTCTTGATCGTAGACACCCTATTTCATCACTGTTTAATAAATAAGGAAAACAGCTTACCTGTGGAATGTGAAGTCACATTCGTGATACCATTCATTTTTGCAATCAGCCAAGCAAAACAATATACCATTTTGATGTAAATAATCGAATTAGTAAGTCAAAACACAAATAAACATTAAACTTTAACATTGTTTATGTTGTCACATCGAGCGGCCATATTAATTTATAATATTGCTACTTAGATGTAACGAAAAACTACTAACACGACATCGGTTTACATTATAATTTTAATTAATTCACACTTTTACTTAAAAAACATATCAACTATGTCTATTCAATATATTTACTAATAGATAATAATTAAAATGACCTAGTGATGTCTTTAAAAAATCAATAAAATCTCCTAATTGCCAATAACAATTATTTAATTTTCCAATGGCAACTCATTAGACAAGGACCTACTACTATAAATCTTATATCTCTAGTAGACCGTTTTTCTACTCTGAAATGTGACATAGAAAAATAAACCTTATTTTATATTAGATAAAGTGTAAGTTTGATTTTAAGAAATATATCAGTACGCAATCCAGTTTAAGTTGACATTCGTGGAGATGGCATTGTTCTTGTTTTTACATATCACAGTGATGTCATGAATATGACGGACAGCATTTTTGCGGGTAAAGTAGATTTAATTTTAAGGCAAGAAATGGCGTATTTATTTTTTACAAAATTTGTTTTATGACTTTTTTAAATTAAAATACCCTATTACCTGATCATCATTATAACTTCCAACGCTTCTCGAATGACGATGTCGCTTGAGATTTAAGGCAGATTGTGGAGATTGCCCGTCGACAGAATCCTGGTAATCGAAGAATCATATATATTATAAAAAAAAAAAACGCAAAAGGCACCTATGTAATATGGGATTAATTATTTATTTTATTATATTATGTGTTCCGTTAGACGTCCGAAGTCCATTATGAGAGAGAGTACATCGTTTTCTTACTTTTTATTTCCTGTAATGTCGCTATCTCCAGTTCCGTTTCCGCTGTACGTCCGCAGCGCCCCCTAGCGCCCTTAAGAAAAACTTTCTCCCGCCAAAGACAAGCCGCCATATTTGTCATTGTTGCGTCGTTTTTTTTCAACGGTTGGAGCATTTTATCAATGTCGCGAAAAATTTAAGAATTTTCGAGATTAAAGTAGAGAATTCTATGTTTTTGGTGTCGTGTGACATAAAATAAAGTGTTATTTCAAATATTTATTTGAAAAAAGTGTCTCCGTTCCGTAAATTTTTTTTTATAACCGCGTAGTGGATACCTTCACATCATGAGTGATAAAAATTCACCTCGAAGAAGTTCCCAAAGTTCTTCATCGTCGCGGGGATCTTCATCGGATGCTTCGCGCGAGGCGAGTCCCCCGCCGGCTAAAAAGAAGAAGTCGGTGGCTCAACCTGACCGAATAATAGATAGCTCCGATTTGGATCGCAGGTTTGACATACTATCTCAACAACTGGTGAGTCACGTGAATAGTTTTTTACTGTCAAATTATACGCAGATTAATTCTATGCCTCGTACAATAGTTCCAAACCTTGAAATCCCAAATGAAAATTTAGGTATAGAAAACGAGAGCTTTTTGCGTCCTCCTGTAGAAACGGTTTCAAAGCTAGGTGACATAGCAGAATTAGATGTATCCGTTAAAGAACCCTCGATATCTAAGGCAAATCCGGAAAGATTAGCAAAAATTTCTTCCATGCAAAGATTTGATTCACCTGATTGGAATTCAGTGCGATATTCGGACATTCAGAAAAAATATATTGCTACCCCCGCCTTCATCGAATTAAAAGTAAATGAAGAAATGCGACGTTTAGAAGACCCCTTCGCTCCTTTAAGATGGTTTCAAATGGAACGTAGTTTTGCGACACTATCGAACGCATTTCTAGCACAAAATGAATCGGTAAATTCAGCTTTACAAAACCTGATTGACTGGTCTGCCACATCTAATGTGCAAATGACGCCGTCGAGTCTTTATTCAAAACTGAAGGATTTATTTGGAAACGACTCGGCATATAAGAATGTATCTCACGATATCTTACAAATTATTTGTGGGAAAAGAGCGGAAGTTCTTGAACTACGACGTCGTACACTACTGAAATCCGTAAAAGATAAATATATTCGAGAAGATCTAGAGAAAATTCCTCCGTCTTGCGAATATATGTTTAACCCTCAACAATTATCGTCTTACATACAAAAAATTGGAGGACTGGATAAAATAGAAAAAGTGGGAAATCGTAACACAAAACAGCCTAGGCCAAAATCTCCCCAACCCTCTACGTCGTTCGAGAACAAGCCATTTCGAGTCACCAATAAGAAGCGTAATGGGCAAAGAGAAACCGGTAGTTCGCAAAAACCCTTCGAAGATTTCTCTACAAATAGAAGAGGCGGACGGAAAGATAGAACCAGTAAAAGACATCATAATAAAAGAAAATGACTCGGTCACGTTTACGGGGGGATGTTTGAGGTTCTTCCACAAGAATTGGTCCCGGTTATACCCACCGAAAACGATACTAAGTTTAATAACTGGAACTCGAATTCCTTTCAAAAGTCACGCCCCTCTGGTATTGCCAAGCTTAGAACTAATGAAAAATTTTCAAACTCCGATTTCGCAAGCAATGTCGCTGGTGATAAATATACTCATCAAGAAGAAGGTTTTGGAAATAGCTCCTCTGACACCCTCCTTCATTTCACCAATGTTCCTAGTTATAAAATCAAACGGAAAGTCCCGCATAATTTTGAACTTGAAAGCCTTAAATCGTTTCATGGATCCCAAACCATTTCGTCTCTTCAATCACCACCACATGCACGAGTTTCTTCAACCATTCGACTGGATGGTGAAGTTAGATCTCCACCAGGCTTACTTTCATCTGCCAATAAGCCCAGAGCATCGACCTTATCTCCGCGTCAGCTACAACGGACAGCTACTTCAAATGACGTGTCTACCGTTTGGACTAGCTGCGGCTCCTCGGTTATTCGCGTCAGTGACGAATTGGGTTGCAGAAAAGCTACGAGAAATGGGAATGCGCCTTGTAGTATATCTCGACGACTTTTTGTTGGTTCACCAGAACAGAAAGGTCTTAGAGACTCACGTATCAACAGCCATCAAATTCTTAACTCATCTAGGCTGGTCAATCAACAAAGAAAAGTCGATCACAAAACCTACACAATCGATCGAATTTCTTGGAATCGCTTGGGATATTCACCACAATACGAAATCCCTTCCGCCGAAAAAGCTGGCGAAGCTGCGCCAAATTTTATTGACTCGACTCGCTGCAGGCAGTTGGTCCCTCAAGCAGGCGCAATGTCTCTTAGGGCACCTCAATTTTGCTTCCTTCATCACCCACCGGGGAAGGTTGCATTGCCGAACTTTGCAGCGTCACAGCAACCAGCTTCGCCGTGCCATGAGCAAGCATTGTCAGCTCACCGCCGATGCAATCATAGAGCTGGAATGGTGGCTGGAAAATGTACATTTAAAAACACCCATCCATCTGAAGAAACCTGTTACAAATTACTTAATCACGGATGCTTCGGATATCCAATGGGGTGCTCTAGTCAACAACATCAGTGTACAGGGGCCCTGGGAGAATCATCAGAAATCTTGGCATTGCAATATGAAAGAAATGTACGCGGTGATAGCTGCGATTTCAGCACACGCCACGAACCTGAAAAACTCGAAAATTTTGTTTCAAACAGACAACAAAACAGTAATATCTTACATAAAAAACGAGGGCGGAACGAAGTCACAAAAATTATTGGATCTGACAAAGAAGTTGCTAACCCTAACAGACAACCTCAATATTATACTACTCCCTTATCATCTTCCAGGAATATACAACACCGAAGCCGATCACCTGTCGAGGAACCAAACCGGCGCAGAGTGGTCACTTCAAGGCAAAGCTACACTAGATATATTTCAAAGATGGGGAGTGCCGGAAATCGACTTATTCGCTTCTCAGACAGCTCACGTCGTGCCGAATTATGCTACACTAGACTTATCAGACTCGAACGCATGCTTTCACGACGCCTTCAGCAGGATTTGGGACTACGAACTGGCATGGATTTTCGCGCCACCAGGCTTAATACCTCGAGTACTCAGTCACTTGAACACAGCCCGAGGTCGATTCGTAATAATAGCACCCAAGTGGAAGAAGCCCTTCTGGAGACCCGACCTGAAAAACAGATCCCTGACCCGTCCTCGAAAGATAATCAACCTTCACCATTACCTTACGGACACAGTTACAGGCCGAGCACCTCCAGGGGTCAGCAACCTACATCTGGAAGCTTGGCTCATTTCGGGTGGGATTCGTTGACTGTAAATTGGTCACCGGAAGAAAAAGATCTACTAAAATCTTGTTGGAGAGCTTCGACAATGAAAACTTATATCCCAATTTGGAACAAATGGTCTGCTTGGTGTCAGGATAAAAATATTAATTCTTATTCGCCCATGCCTACAGACGTAGCTAGATTTTTGGCATGTCTACATCTAGTTCATCGTTTAGCTTACCGAACCATTCTTGTTTACAAGTCTGTTATTGCTTCCATTTGTGAAACTTCATCAGACACAAAAATTTCATCCAGTCACATAGTTCGGCATATTCTGAAAGCAATATCTTTATCGAAACCAGTGCAGCCTAAAGCTCCTATATGGGACGCTCGAATTCTCATTAATTTCTTAAAAAATATGTTACCTAATCCTGACAGCCTTTATGATGTCTCTAGGCGCGTAGCAGCAATCCTCTTACTAGCCTCAGGAAGAAGAGTCCATGATCTTACTCTTTTGCATTGTGATGATAGTCATTTCATAGATAATCAAAATTCAATTACATTAATTCCCGCTTTCGGTTCAAAAACAGACTCCGCCAATTATAAACAGTCTAACTGGACTCTTCTTTCTTCTCCCGATAACAACATAGATCCATTGCGTTGGCTCAGAATATTAAAAAATCTGACTAATGATATCCGTGGACCAATTACAAACTTATTTATAACCACTAAAGGCACCCCTAAGCCTGCATCTCGTACAGTTATAGGAAACTGGCTTAAGCACCTTCTATCGGAAGCTGGAGTGCAAGCATCAGCTGGCAGTTTTAGGTCGGCGGTGGCATCCTTAAATTGGATGGAAAATTACTCTATTAACGATATTTTAGCAAAAGCTAACTGGAAGCACGAACAAACTTTTAGAAAGTTCTATCTAAGACAAATCGAATCCAATAATGATAACGTGACTGATGAACAATCTCTCTCTCTATTATTTTCTAATGATTAAATTCTTTATTTAATTTAAATCTATTCTATGTAACGTAATTCTTAATGTTTATATAACCCTGATTGGTAATTAATACAATACTTTCAATTATCACATTGTTGCACTTTATTACATTCCTTACAAGCCACCAGGAGATAACAAACAACTCTCTCATAATGGACTTCGGACGTCTAACGGAACACATAATATAAAAATTTTACCTTACAATAAAATTTGTATTATGTTTCCTCCTGACGTCCGAAGTCCACATAATGTCTTCCTGGTGGTTAACATTATCACCATTATGAGCCGAACAATGACAAATATGGCGGCTTGTCTTTGGCGGGAGAAAGTTTTTCTTAAGGGCGCTAGGGGGCGCTGCGGACGTACAGCGGAAACGGAACTGGAGATAGCGACATTACAGGAAATAAAAAGTAAGAAAACGATGTACTCTCTCTCATAATGGACTTCGGACGTCAGGAGGAAACATAATACAAATTTTATTGTAAGGTAAAATTTTTATATTTTTAGTATTTCAAGTTTATAGTCGGAATCGCTTTCGTTGAAAATGATAATTTACTTAATAGTATAGTAAACTTGTCTTGGACAATTTCAACTAACCACAAATTAACGATATTTTTTATTCAGTATTTTCCAAAAAAAAGCCTTCGCAATTGCAAATCTTTCAAACTTCATCTTCAAAATTAAAAGGGATTGAGACAGATTTTAAAATTATCATATTGATAGCGATCGTTAAATAGTGATCGCAAAGTTCATTGACCGAGCTGTCAAATTCGATCGCTAGGAAACTAACGACTATCGCTAATTTAGCAGCTGCACTCGGTACGTGCCTAATAAATAACAATATATTAAACTGTAAAGATTTGCAATAATCTTTAACTTACGATCGCTATAAGTTAGCGAATGAATTCAGTAAGATTGTGATGTCAAACTCTGTCAAGACTGCAGCCTAAACCGGGGTGTGACATACCTGCCACTTGGGTCTTGAAATAGTTTAAATATGTGGCAAATGGTCTATATACTCACTTTGAATCTATTGAACTGTCTATATTTGACCCTGTCTGTGGCAACAAGACTTCTTAAGGACTGAGTCCGTGGACAGTTGTTTTCCACAATCCATCTGTATGTGCCAAACATTTTAGATGTGTCGCTTCTAAAATAAAATAAAATCATTAGACTTACATTATTGTTCACCATTTTTTAAGATTTTTTTAATTTATTTTCTCTAAAGCCTCTGCAAATCTTAATAAAATTTTATGATATCTCTCATTTAATAATAATTACAATTATTTTTTTCTCCCATATATCAAGGTCAAAGTGGGACTTAACCTCGAAACATACATGAATTTCGTTTGCACATCAAGAAGATATAAAAAAAATAAGACTGGCCTATCCGGTGGTCCTATCCTATCCTATTAAAATCTGCAGGTGACAAGAGCTTCCATGACAATGAGTCATGACTTATACGAGGATTGGTGGATGTTAACGACCATAGTTGTAGCAGATCAAATGTTTAACGTGTCTTCCGATGCAAAACTCGAGATAACTTTGAGCAAATCCAAACGTTGCTTAACTTCCGCATCGTAGACCGAATGTGCTAACAACTGCGCCATCGAGTCTTTTTAATTATATGTTCAACGCAAATACACGTCGCTATTTAATGTTGTTAAAGTATAATTTATTTGGCAAAGGAATTTCTGAGATGTTTTACTTCAAAAAAAATTTTGTTCACTATATATATATTTTTTTTTGTAATAATGTAGGTATTAGAACATTATTGGATTTTGCCTTACAAATTGCTCGGTGTCAAAAGTAGCCTCTGTAGATTAGCTAGAGTTGTCCTCATATCCGCTATGGGCAAGCCCCTCCCCCTCAACAGTTGAGCGATACATTTGTTCAATAGAAACATGGCGTACAAAAACAATGTGACGTCACCACCTCTCGCGAACATGGGTATACTGAAAATATCATATTTTATAAGCATATTGAATTAATTAATGAATTATTATCGTGCCCGACGGGGCCATGATGATACATTTCTTCTCTGTAACAACTTTGTAATACATTATGGGGTGCAGGGTGGGGTGGGGTATTTTGTTATACAGAAAATGAATTGAATATTACAGTAAACTCCCGTAATCGCGGTTATCCGACATCAGTTTAATCTGAACAAATTTTTCCATTTTTGGAGCACGCATTTTGACGGATATTTAACACCTCGTTCACGCATGAAAACCGGACGAAGGTTTATCTAAAATTTTCGTTATCCAGACCGAAGACTCGCCCGAGCGATAATTTCAGTTAAACGAGCGATCATTTCAGTTAAACGATAGTTTAGTGTATTTGATTTTGACGGAAACTTCGCAGAGTTGGATAAGCAGATATACTGTATAAGATGCGAGGATATGATAAATTGTTATATATTTTTATTAATTTTAATTACGATAGACTTGGCAGAATGCCAAGCTATAGCTACTTCTGCAAGATGACGCCGCACGTAAATATTAATATGGATATGACTTAGTGATAAGAGACTAATGTTGTTCAAAGATATATAGTGACCGAATATCACTAGAAGGTTATTAAATGTAAAAAAAACAATGTATCTTTTATACCATATAAAGACTTAAATAATCAATCAATATCAGGTGCTTTAGACGAGATTTTAATGAAAAAGTTAGTATCTAGTTCCATTGCGAGCAATGAAGATGGCCGATTTTTTAAATATGTTTATGTAAGATACATTAATGAACATAACATTGTGAATACAAAAAATATCATAGAAAGTACATAAAATAATGTAAATCTACATATCCATATTAATATTCGGCTTAAACCAAAAAGTTTTCACCTAATCCAATCCTTCACTGATAATAACAGGAAGCAAAATTTAAAAATTTGCACTGGCAAATTGTATAACAGAATACAAAAGCTAATGTTACAACGTATTTTAAGCGTTTGTTGTATTTATCCTTATATAATATAAAAGAAAACCTCCGAAAAACCTTTAAAGACACTCACTTAGGGTCCGGCAAATCAGGCGTAATATCCAAGATTTTGCTGGCCGATCCCAGCAAAGTGATTTTGTACCTTAAAGGCTGGTTTAAGAAGGCGGCCGCTAAACAAGTCGCTTGCGCAGCAAATCCAGCCGCTACTGAATCGGTCACAGCGTTAGTGTTGCGTGGGCAATCATCCTCGCATATAGGTAAAGGCACGTCTATAATGGACCAGGTCGTATCATTTTTCTGTAACAATGAATACATCCTACTCATTTATTTTTTCAATATTATATGACGTCCCAAAAAAAAGTGTAATGTGTTTAGGTTTAGTATATATATAAGTGTATTGTGTTTAGGTTTAATGGATGTATGTAAGTGTGTGACTTTATTCCCTTAACTTATCAAAATAAAAAAATATCAAAATTGTTTATTCAGTTTAGGCTTTTACAGAGCACTCGTGAAAGTCGAAAACTACGCCATCGGTTCGTAAAACTACGGCGGGAGACCTTGTACTGAGAAGAACCGGCAAGAAATTCAGCAACGGCTGCTTTTTTCTCCTTGTTTTATTTCACACAGACACAACACAACTTTTTATGCCCGAATTAGAATATATGGATGTGGACGATATGTGGTCTCAATAGGACGGTGCCACTTGCCACCAGCTAACGAAACAATGGCTATTTTTCGCGACAAATTCAATGGCCGTGTTATCTCACGTGGTGGCCATATCAATTGCTCGCCAAGATCATGTGATTTGACACCGTTGGACTTTTTTCTTTGGAGTTATTTGAAAAAAAAGTGTACGTGGATAAACCAGCAACAATTCAAGAGCTAAATTATGAGATAATTCGGCAAAATTAACGGCATAGAACCTCAATTGTGCCACCCTGATTGACTTATATATCAACGCATATTTGAAACTTCTGTACCTAGAAACTGGAAATTTGGTACAGGGGTTCTTTTCATGACGTAACTGCATACTAAGAAAGGATTTTTAGAAAATCAACCTCTAGGGTGAAACAGAGGAGTGAAGTTTATATGGACCACGCGAGCGAAGCCAGTTGCTTAATCTATAGCAAACTGAATACGCCAACCCTGCGCGATCGAGCTCCATTAACTCACCTGTTGTATATAGAATATTTCATGTAAACTAGCTAAAAGTTCACATCTCAAGCTAGCTAATGCCGCGTGCGTACGCGCAGCTAATTCCCTCAACGCCGCGCACGATTGACGATTCTCTTTTATACATTCACTGCGACGGGACAAAGAGTGATAGTTCTCCATCAGTTCTGAACCTGATGTAAAAAAATATATATTACATTATTACTTGTATACTAGCATGCAAGTAAAAAAAAAATCATGGGGAGATAAATAAATCGCTAATGACTCGTTTGCGTTGGCGATTTCTGTGATGCGTTCTCGTTAGTTTATAAAAAAAATGAGCTCACAAAGGTCATCCACACTTCGCACGCCGACTTCATCGACCAAGGTAAATGAGCCATTAGGTAGTGGGAACCGTGAACCCAAAAGGAAAAAGGACTACCTTTGGGACTTCTCAATTGCGTTCATCTGTCTATTAATGTCGCCAATCCATTTTCTATGGAAGATATCGATTCGAATCGACTAGGGAGAACGAGCCATAACCCATCATTCAAAAATATCACTTATTGCACTGATATAAGAACACAATTCACGATTTTCTGCTTTGGATATAATCCATAAGTTAAATAACTTACCAATATCCTGGTTCTCCTCAAACAGCTTAGCACGTCTCTCTTTCAGTCTTCTAATGCTAGCGAACTTGTTGTCTCTCTCGTCCGATAATATAATACGTTTGAACCTTAATATTTCTAATTGCTTTGTAAGTCTAACATGCTCAGCCCTTTGGAATGGTGAAGGTTTCGACTGAAAAGTTTTTTTTTTTTATAAAATGAAGACTTAATCCCTTAAATTACTCTTAATAAATGTGAGTCAAATTCCAAATTGAACAATCTATCACAAAGTCCCCTTCTATCCCTAATATTTGATCTCATTATGTAATAGGACTTTTTTGATGAGCAAAATTCATGTAATTCAGTAAACTAAAATTATTCCAAAATGTTAATAAATTTACATTATCAATAAAAACTTATTATGAAAGAATATACTATTCATTAACGATGTCATGACTCAATCGTATGTGATGTGTTTATGTTAATTAAACATAGTATGTGACTATATTAATGTAAACTGTATGAGATACCTTAAAAGACAGGAGATCATTTAATTTCAATGTTAACCTTGGCCCATTTGACACAAGAGGTTTATCTTCTTTTAATCTACCGTTTCTAACAGACGAATCAGCCCGGGATGTCGTAGTTTCTTTCTCAACATCATCAGGTGAGAACAAATTCCTCTGAGATCTACATTTCAACTTCAATCTGACATCCAATTCGTCAGGCTGGGGCCAACTGTCGTTCGTCAAGGCGGACTTTTGATAAATACGCTCTTTTATCTCTTGGACAGCCTCTTGCCGCTTCTTTATAGAATACTGCAGCAAATGCAACTTTTGCAACTTACTAGCATTGTAGCTCGGCCGTATTTCTGACTTCAAAAAGTTCAGCGCCAAATATCTGCATTTAGGCTCGCCCTCGACCTGACTTCTTAAGTCGTAATTCTCTGCTGTTTCACTTAAATCTATTTCACTCCGTATGAGATCTTCGTTGGACGCGTTTTTCGATAAAGCGCCGTTCACGTCATGTGTAACGTCTAAGCTGTCAGGCGAATGCTCATAAATATAATTCGGATCGACTGCTTTTTTCCTTTCATTACTATCGTCCCTTCTCCTACTATCTCTTTGGCTTTGGCCAATGTTCAAACTAGCGGAGTTTTTCAAAGTGGGAAAGTTTTGCCTGAAACCTCTATCGACTGGACTGTTGCTCTTTGAATATTCCTTCTCGACTTTTCTAGTAAAAGTACTCGGGGATACCGATCTACCATCTTTAACCCTATTCTGGATATGTTTCGGTTCCAAAGTCACTCGGGACAAATTCGTTCTACCAGATGAATCGGACGATAACGAGCCGTGTTCCAATTCGTTCTCCGGAGGTATTACATCTAATTTGAGACTTTTATAAGAGCAAAAGTAGCCACCGTGCAATTGGAAAACGAGAGTGTTGCTTTTGAAGCTATCGGAGGTAAAATTTAAAGCTAAATTGGCCCCTATGTAACGTAAACCTGAAAAATAAACCCCCCATGTTTGTATAACGGTGTCTTGGGTGACAATGTCATTCGCAGAATGGAGGATGTGACACCAAATCCTTATGACGACGTTTGTTGAGGACATACGCTGTATTAGTTCTGTGGACAAATTAATTTACGATATTCTTATGCGTATATACCATAAATAGTTTTTACGCATTGTTAGAATCAGTACATATCTGAAGAAAGATAATGATATAAAATTCAACTTTACACGCTTTTACTTGTACAGACTCTTAGGCACTACACCTTTAATACCTAATTCTGGTGTTGGCGCTATGGTATATTTTTTTCCAACTGATTTGTGAAGAAGACGTTGCACTAATAATATTGGACTTTAGGTAGATAGTATAATGGCAAAACGCAAGTAACAATTAGCAGAATTAATGCCCTGCCATTTCAAATATGTAATATATGATCATTGACTTGACTAAAAACAATTGGACTTGTCTAGCAGGAAATTCGAGATATGCGTAAATTATCATATCTTAATTATCCAGGAGACACTGAACTTAACACAGTTATGTCATAGTAATGACTCACAGTACCGCGTTCTTATCTATTGCAATGTGTGTCATATTAAACTAGTTTTATTATCTGTCACTCGGGTTTAGATGTAGGTTAAGCTGTTACGAATGTGGTTTATAGGAAACTAAATCGTTTATTGTAAAAATAATTTATTTCAATAATGTTATAACACTGTAGACTTTTTTGTTTTTTTTTATCACGTGATATTTACTACAAGACGTATTTAGTATCAATATATTCCTAAGAGGCCCTCCATTAACCACGTGAGGGTAAAGGAGGAGGGGGTTCGTCAAAAATCACGAAATATTACAAGGGGGAGGGGGAAGTGTAGTAATATAATTACATGTATTTATTTTTCCTCTAATGCATGACTACTAAGCCGTGATTTCAATAATATTATAAAATAACACGAAACAAAACAGCTTTCATTATAACAGCTATAAACATATATACACAAATAAAGATATTACAAAGATTGGACAGACGCCCATGCTTTTCTGCTACCATAGGACTGTATAACGTCACTTTTTGGCTTACATTTGTAGGGAGAATTTTCAGTTGACTAGCAGCAGTTCCACAAACATAGCACCGTATTTCTGAAACTATTAATGGCAGAAATACTTTTACTACTACATTATTCCTCAGATTATTTCCCAGATATTAATGGACTATTAATTTATGATATAAAAAAAAATAACTATAGAATAAACCCAACTTAATAATAAAAAGAATGACCAATAATCCATACTAATATTATATATAAGTATAATTCATGCAGGTGATGTCATGAGAAAACAGTCCCTCAAAAAGGCAATAATAAATTATGTAGGCAAGGCACACCTGAGTCGATCTCCTTCCATTTTGGATGTGGAGATGATATTCTTTCACTTGTGTAGAATGGTGCAGACATTGTTGTATGATGCAGTGTTATGTAGAAACTGCAATGGGAGACGCAGCCCTCTGGGGGTCTGATGTTGTAACCAACAATCTGAAATTATTTACCAATGTGTTAGCATATTTTGAGTTTCCATTGAATCTTAATTGAATTTACATCATATTGAGCACACCCAAAATATCAAATTAGAAATTTGAGTGTTGTTGTATAAATCAAATAAGAATACAAAAACCTATCTCAGATAATGTAAAATAAAATATGACACATTAACTAGCACTACAATATCACCTAAAGAATTTGATATCAATTTAGTTGGGTATTCATTAAGTGACCATTTGTTAATAAGCACTGTTTTTATACAGTAATTAAACAATGTTTCACAATCTTGCATCATTTCTGTAAACAGTTTATAAATAAAGGTGATGAAACTTTGTTTATTAAACACAATGCTAGGTTTCCTACTCAGCAAACGAGGTGAAACATCTACTTTATAAGCAAAGTTGACAGATGTAGAGGAGTGTTGTGGAGATTTATATGCTGGCCCTATTACTCTACTATTTTATTTTGTTTACTAACAAGGTTTCATTTTATTTTCATCTATTTTATTTATTTCGTTAAAATACATCAGAAATTTAAATATAGCAAAAAAAAAATTATAAGCAGTGTTTATAAACACACTATGAACATTTTACTAACAAATATTGCTTAATTAATACCCAGCTTAAGCCTTCCAATCATTTTTATATTTCTTAGCTTTCTGTTTATAAATATTATTTAAATAATTTATAGTGTCCTAAGATTTCACTAAATATTTAATTTACCTGAAAAATAGGTATCAAATAGGTATCAATGCTACTTTATATTAATATAGGTAATAATATATAGGAAATATTTGATTAGATGTTTGTTTGAATAAGCTTTGAAGCTACTGAACTGATTATAAAAATTCTTTCACCTATAGGAAGCTAAATGATATATGGATGATGTGGGCTATGATTTACTGAGGCAAGGTTAAGGCAAAACATCTAATATATCAATACAATCCAAGAACTAAAATCCAAAATTCTGAAGTTAATACATATTTTGATAATAAACACTTTTAATTTATTTTTTAAGTATGTACATTGTCTTTGATATTTTAGTGAAAGTAATTGGTTAACATAGGTACACAAACTATTTAAAAACTTGCGGTTTAATATTTTTAGGGACTCCAGAGATTATTTTGTAGTATCAGAAAAAATGATAATGTGATAATAATAACTGAAAGAATGTAAAAACTTATTTAAATAAGAATGTTTAGTTCATAGAAATAGGGCCTAGTGAAATAACGATACAATCTACTTAATATAATCAAAAGAACAAAGATCAAGCGTGTAGGCGTATATTAGTAAACTACATAAGTGCCTACTTCAGTTTTTGTGACATTAACGAACATGGAAAATTGTTCTAGAATTTAAGTCGTTAATTTTAGTATTTTCACCTGTATTAGACTCCTTAATCGTAACTGTTGAGTAGCTAAAGGTGTCCATTCCCTGCACCTTGGTCTCCCGAACATATCTTGCTAATATTAGTACAACAAAACAAACCGAAACAAAAGGGCACGCTTCATTCACGTTTTATTTAGCACTATGACGTAATCATAGTTAAGCATGTCCGAGAAATTGATAATAGCATCAATGTAACAGAATTGCAATCGAGTTTTAAAGTCCAAAATAAATAAAACAATGCATTAATCACCTGACTCTTAAATTCACTGACATTTCTAAAAATTGGGTAATCTAGAAACGTCAAAAATAATAGAATTGAGTTGCCATATCCAATTTGCATTTCCTACCATAACATTAAAAACTGTACTATGAATGAAAAGTAAGGATGAAACGATGTATCGAAAAGCTGATATATATCGATATATCAACCCCTAAATTTTTCTATTACATATCGATATCGAAGGAACAGCGACGTCTATATCAAAAAAATTAACATATCGAAACCTAATATCAAATGAAATCATAAATTTGTATCAGTTGTCAAAATTAATAACAGCGTATTCAAATGTGATATTACATTAGTAACACGAGTGACATTATTTTGTAAGCCCGATTTTTTGCTTTGAAATATTTAGTAATTTTTATGAATATTGTTGTAAGGTATGTAAGGTATTTTTGTAAGGACGAAATAAAGTGTTATCGCAATAAGACATTTTTCTACTAGGATCAGAAGCATGCCTTCTGAATGCTTCCCATAGAATGACAAGATCGAGGAATACTTCGTGCACACCAAACATCATGTTTCTTAGATCTAGAGCGAGATATCGTAAAAGCGCACTGGAGAAAGGTAACATTTGGGTGTAAACAAAACGCTCTCAAGTTCTTCATGCTACGCGTACAGGATCCAACATTACACGAAGTAGGAACAGGCTAAGTAGCCAGATAGCAGCCGCCACCACTTTTAGCCGATTTTTTAATACACTAAAAATTAACGTATTTTATTTACATAGTGTTTTACAGTGTTTTGTGTTTTTTATAGTGTTTTGAATTAACTTAAAATCGAAAAAAAATATCGTTATCGCCTATAACCCATATATGTATATCGAACAAGATATTTTATGAATCTTGTACTCCAATGACAAGTACATATGTACATAGTTGGGTTATTAAAATAGGCCAAATTTTACATCTATCACACTCTATCATAAACCTAATCTTCTAATGGGACGGTCTTGTTGGGATTTAATTTTCATTTTACATGCAGAAATTTATTTATTTGCTTGCTCTTGGCAGAATTGTGCGAAATGCGCAGATAAGTCATTAATAAAAGAAGAAGATGAACCTTGTAATGCAATGCGCCTACAATATATTTTTTTAAGTTTAAAATAGTACAATTGCCGATTTCTTTTAATTATTAAAATGTGTTTATTGTTATAATAGAAAAATAAAATAATTCTTCGTTTACTTTGACTGATAAACCTCTCATAATGTAAATAGTAAATTTTATTCTAAATGTACGCCGCTATAAAGTTAAATCTGTTGATACGTTGTCTTTTTAAACACTAAGGATGTATGTAAAAAGTCGAGAACATTGTTTGGTCTACCCGAAAATTGATTTTATAATTAATTACGGCGGCATGAACGAATGGGAAACGTCTTTTTTTATGGGATATGGGGCAGACGAGCAGACGGTCAGTGATGGTAAGTGATTACCGTCACCCATGGACACCTGCAACACCAGAGGGGCTACAAGCGCGCTGCCGGCTTTTGAGGGATGAATATGATCATAGGGAGGGAAGGGTTGAGGGGTAGAGGGAAGTGAATAGGGAGGGATTGGGCCTCCGGTACCCTCACTCACACTAAAAATGTATTACTAAAATATTATTTAAATGTCGCCAAAGTTATAAAGAAAATTACTAACAAAATATTTAAACTTTAATTAATGTAGCATTGTGAAGACAAAAGTGATCGTGGCTCTCAAAACACGGAAAAGATCGAGATTGTAAATTTTAGTCACTCATCTTATGGCCAGCCATTGCATAAATATGTAATTATTGATTTCTTATGTTTTCACGCGCACTATCTATAAATGAAATAATTTTTAAACGGTTTCATCACGTTTCTATTTAGTTTTATTGACGTTTTGGAACCTTTATAAGTTCCATGTTCACACAAGACTAAGATGTTGATTGTCTTCTTATCAGGGTATTTGACAATATTTGAAAATTTAAATAGCGAAAATCACGCAAAAAACGCTACTCTATGTAATGACGCTGATCACGTGGTATTTGTGACGTCACAAGCTGATAAACATGTCTAGGCGACATAACCTATTCAACTATTTATTTACGAAGTAAACAAGCAGTATTACAGAAGACAAATTAAAGTTAATTTTTAAAAATGAGCTACGAATTGTATGTACGAATTAAATACTAATTTAACGCATCTTTAATCACACTGTTTTGACAAGACAGTTTCATGTTTACGTGTGACGTCACACGCCGGTAAACAGAATCTGTTATTCGTTGCGACGACAACCAATTATAGAGCGTTTTCATCATTGATAAAAATAAGGATAAGCACTGGATCTAATATTGAACCTAGAGGCACGATCTCAGTGATGGAAACTTTTATAGACTCTGTTTTAATTAAGACTTATCTCTCATTTAACTAAACAGTTTTTAACTTCTGGTAAAAGACAATGATCTTATTCGACTTAGTGCCTTTTCGAGTTTTATAAGTATTTTATACTAAACACAGTTCAGTGCATTTAAAAGATAATAAACATACTGTCCCAACCATCATAAACTTTGTGGAAGCGAAATCCCATCGAGCTATTAAATATGGCTATAGTTATACGACCTTATTTGCGAATAGTATGCGTAATATGGAAGATTTACTTCATAAAATTAAAACTACTAGCCTTAATTTTGGATTGAAGATAAGGTTACACAAATAGAAAAATTTTAGATTGCCCAATCGTACATTTATCTCGGCGCTTTGATATCCAATAGAAGCGAATGTGTAGATGAAATAAAGCGGTGCATGATATTCACTAGGTCTACATAGTCAACTTGAGAAGGATATGGGAAAACAAGCACATTACCAAAGCCACTAAGATCAAGCTAGTATACTCTTTAATATTTCCTATATACGCATCGGAAACGTGGAGTCTGCGTGAAAGAGAGAAGGATATAAACGCTCTGGAGTTGTAGTAATAGAGAAAAATGCTTGGGGTGTCTTGGACGAGTTCGGTACTAATGCATCTATGCTAAACGAAACTCGGCATCAGACGGCGTCTGTCTTTTATAGTCCTAGCACACATTTTAGCTTTGTTTGCCAATGTATCAAGACGAAACAATAAATCCATAGAACACGTGGTTAGTATAGGGAAAAGTTGTAGGTAAATCTTGGTAAGCGCGCGGTAAATCCTCGATGAGATGGACGCATCAAATAAAGGCGGCAACAAACTGCCCTTTCTTTAAACTATTCCTGATTGACGATCACGATCACTTTTTTAAGAGTGAAATAGCTTAGAAGAAGAATGAGGTATGGTTTAATATTAGTATGTCGGCGAGAAGGCGCTTCGATTGTGCGAAACGCCATCTGTCACCTTCAGTTGTCATCTGTCAAGATCTATGGTGGTTTGCGAAACGTCAAGTTATGACATTGACGGCTGTCATCGCTTGGGAGTGGTCTATGCGTGTTCGAAGATGGCACTTTACCAGGCCCCTGACACTTAGTTCAAAATCTTGCCGTGAAGCGCTAGTGTAGATGTCTTCGCCGCCATCTTTCTTATCGATGCCGCCATATTTGTCGACTGTCACTCAAATGAAACGTCAAGTCAATTTATTGGGGTTAAAGTTTGTTTGGTTTTTGTTTGTTAACAAACAACAAACTTTGTGTTAATTGTGCGCGCTTACTTTTGGTTGAATAAAGACGCTATTTTGTGTATAATTTCCGCCCTCCCTTTTGGTTGAGGACAGACGTTATTGGTTGATGTTTTTTGTGCACTTTGACGGAGTAAAAGTGTTCTGTGAATTTGACTTGTGTTAAATAACTAACCAGAGGACTATATCCTAAAATGGGACGTCGAAAGTGTTGCGTCATTGGTTGTAAATCTACCAGTGAAACTCATAATCTCTATCGATTTCCTAAAGATAAGGAACTCAGAAAGTTGTGGATGACATATTTGGTACCCCAAAATTCTTCCTTACTAACTTTGACGGAAGACCAGCTTTTAAACAGAAATGTTTGTAACCTTCATTTTGAAAGGAAAATGTTAAATACATCAGGGTTAAGATTGCCTGGAGCTTACCCTTGTCTTTTCACAAAAAATGAGATTTGTTATGGAGTGCCATTGCTCACTGGTAAGTGAATGCACTTATTACATATAATTTATGTCAACATTTTTTCACTATTTTTATCAGTATTTCTCCTACCTGCAGCTGCAATCCTGAGAGCGAGTTGAGCATGACAAACTCGAGAATCATTTTGTCTACACCCAAATGTCACTTACATGGGTCAAGAGTGAAATATTGCATGGGTGCACCTGAGGAAAGTGATATTTGGGTATAGACAAAATTTTCTCAAGATTGTCGTGCTCTGGTGCAAGTCAAGTTTGCTGAGTTATTTTTTCTATTATTGGTATTTAAATATAAAAATAGTAATGTGAAACCTATATTACTTTATAAATTCTTTACAGAAAGCAATCTTAAAGAGGAGCATAATTATTATCAGAAATCAAATGATGATGAAGAGTCTAGCTTGTCTGACCCCTGTTTTATTCTACGTCCTAAAGGTACTAGCATTTTTTTTCCTACTTACTCTATTTTTATATAGATTATAGGTAATAATAATAAATTACTAATAATAAAACTATAAATAAGAAATATTTTGATAACATTGTTCTCATATTTTAGAAAGTGTGGAGCATCTTTATACTATCCCAAATGAAACTCCAACACTTTGCATCGAAAATCAAGAGTCATCCACTAACACAGTACCAAAAAGTAAGCAATTTTTTTTTGTAACTTTTTATAGTGTCTCTGTAGTGGGTGTTGTAGTT